ATTACTTTTTATTCAGGATGCTCCCAATACAATTAGAAGAATATTTTAAGTATTGGCAGGGATTAATTAATGGATTTCATAATCAAAGGAAAAAACAATAATAAATAAAAGATAATGGTATTAGGCTATATATTGGTATTTATTGGTATAATGGAGGTTTAGGTATTCCTAATATTAAAAATTATTATATAGCGAATCAATTAATATTTATTGGAGACATTATATATAACAAAGGAAGGTTAATTTGGTGGAATATGGAATCCTCAGAAATAAATGGGAATATTGAAAAATATTTGTTTTATCTAGTAAAAAGAAATACAATAAACCAGGTGAACAACCCTTTTTTAAATGTTAAATGTCTGGAACAGTTATAAAAAGAAGTTATGTCCCTTTACTTCACCACTAAAATTAGTGACCAAAATAGAAAATTTTCCAGCAAACTTGAAGGGTTTGGCTGATTTGTTTAAAGATAAAAAAGTTGCCAGATTGAAGGATTGCATTATTAAAATGAGACTGAAGGATCAGATTATAGTTCAGACTAATAAACTATCATGGTATAATTATATCCAGTTAGATAGTTAGACAAATGAATGGTTGAAGACTAATGGCAAATGTAGAGAATGTATGAACAATTTCTGTCATCAGATGAAGACATGAAGAAAGATGCTTTGAGGAAGGGAGTAGTAGGTAGAATTTATAACCTAATTTTGGAACAAGAGGAAAAAAGATACTGAAATAGAAGGTTTGAAATCAATTTGGGAACATGATTTAAAGACAGAAATTAAAACAGAGGATTGGACAAAAATTTGGAAGATGAGAGTTTTAAGATTAATGTTGGTAAGAATAAAGGAAATTTAAAAAAATAGTTTTAAGGTGGTACATGACTCCCAGTGAAATTGAACATAATAAATTCAGATTATTCTAAAGATTGTTGGAAATGTGATGAAGAAACTGGCACATATGTGGTGGGAGTGTAAATTGATTCAGAAATTTTGGAAATTGATTTTTAAGGACATGTGTGATATATTTGGAAAAGATATCAAAATTAATTCTAATTCAAATTGCTTTGCTGTCAAATTTTGATAAGCTAGAACTTTATTATTGGAAATTTAAAAAAAACAAAATTATAAAAAACATAGCAGTTAGTCTTTAAGGTGCCAGAATGTTTTTGTCTTTATTTTTGTTTAGTTCTTGCTTGATTTGCTTCCTCTGTGTATTTATCAAACTTTTTTTTTAAGGTAGTAGGTCATATATTATTTGCATCCCTTTGAGGTTTATTTCAGGTACCAGGAATAAATCTTATTGGAATCAGTAGAACATATTATTGCATAAATGTGTTTAGGATTGCAGTCTAAACCTATTAATTCCTGTGCTTCTTAACAAACCAGAGACTGCATGCTTCTTTTTGCAATAAGCTTTGTATGTCCTTCAGTGTTATACAATTCAATATACTGTAGCATACTAAGTGGACAACCTGCAGCTGTCCAGATGTCGGTGGACTGTAGCTCCCATTATCTTTAATTATTGGCCATGCCTGCTGGAGCTGATGGTGCTTCAACAACATCCTCAAAGGAGTGGGTTCCCCGAGGAATGGGTTCCCCACCCTGTCGCAGTTCAGGACTAGGAATTTCCTAATGGGGGAGAATTTGTTAGCAGCCTGTGTACCACCATGGATAGAAAAGTATCTGCAGCCTTCAGAACTTTGCGCCATTAACAGAAATGTTTGCTCAAAAATAACTGTTTCTGCAAAACCAGTAAATTATAATTAACTTTTTCAGACTGACAATGTGTGGGGTGGGGGAATAACAGCAGTTGTTTTCTCACTACTTGCAGCTGAGGGCCCTGTGTACCATAAGTGGGACCTATAGACATGTGGCTCAATTTTTACAAAATTACTGTTTCACTCTAATCAGCCAATGCACAAGGGCCAGTTTTTCATTAAGGGCCAAGGTGGATGTTCACTACAATTTGTTGTGGCTCTGATGTAAGTGCAGTTGAACAACTGTGTACCAATGCCAGACATCATTTATAGTATATCATTTATAGTACGGGTTTCCAAACAATGGCAACAACAACAAAACACTTTGCAGAATTCTCTCTTCACAAATACCCTACCCCTATAGTGACAGACAGGTTTCAGCATTAGATCACTGTAGCTAACTGCAGAAATCAGTCTGTGCTTTTTTGTTATGTTCTTCCCATCTTTGATATTTATCCATATTCATCCCCTCCCAGTGCTACACATTACATACTGAAGTTGTTAAAAGGAACTTTTGTTCTGTCTCTGCGAACACTCAATCTCTTAAAATCTTTTTTCCCCCTCCTTTTCTCTTTCTCCCTCTCCCTCTCTCTTTCTCTTTTTCTCTTTCTCTCTTTCTCCCCAGGACGGGACACTAATGTGTTAGTCTACATTAAAAGGAGACTGGCTATGTGTGCAAGAAAGCTGGGGAGGACCAGGGAAGCTGTGAAAATGATGAGAGATGTGAGTTTGGATTTGTGTTAATAATTGTCTGTTATCCTGACGAGTCAAAGCACAGCCAGAATGCTCATTTTGCCTGTTGACCAAGCACGAACCTCTACACCACAAACAATGAGAATGCCAATAGCTCATATCTTGTTTTCTTTTGGCAGGCCTTTCCACACATAACCTCCACCCCTCCTGCCTCAGAAGACATTCTCGGGGTTGTGTGCTTAATCTCTCTACTCCTCTCTTATTCCTCTCCCACCCTTTCGTGGCATGCAGAAGTTAACGTCTAAGCAGGAAGACGTCCCTATTATTTAAATAATTGGATTTTTATTATAATTGTTTATTTATTGAAAATATTTTTACCCTGCCTTTCTCCTTGAAAAAGGACCCAAGGCGGCTTACAACACTTAAAAACATAATGCAAAACTAATGTAATTAAAGTATACAGTACTAAGAGGATCAAACAAATACCATAGTTAAAAAATAGTAGACGAGAGCAACACCAAAACACATTTAAAGCAATAAGGTACAACAATCCAGCTAAAAGCCCTACCCAGGCAGCCAGTCACTAAGGGAAAGTTTGCCTTATCTTACATAGCAAATCCTACTTCCTCTAATGCAGGGGTCCAGATGTATCTCTCAGCCCCCCTGGGGCCCCCAGCAACCTCCACCCCCCTGTTTGTTTTCATCCCAACAAAGTACCCAGTATGGGGCATGGTAGACAGTTTTGCCATGTCTGGGGCCCCGTGGCCTTCCCATTAAAAAAATTTGGCCACTAGAAGGCATGAAGTTTTTTTAAAAAAATTAAAAGAGGCTTTTCAAAAGTAAAATTTTGTGGGATGAGGGGAGTGTGGGAGTAGGTGCAGCTCTCCAGCGTCCAGGGTGGACATGCGAAAGTGGCCTGTCCCTGCTTTCATGGATTTTATTATTGGAGTCTGGAGGAAGGCTGTGAAAAGCTGAGGACCTTATCATATCTTAACATGCACCTGGAGCTGGTGTGAGGGATACCCACCAAATAAGGGTTGTATTTATTTTCTGTGTTTTCTATCTCAGAGTAAATGAAATGTGACAAAATTAAAACTAATGTAATAACTTTATTATTTCCATAGTGCTAGGTAAGAAACTGAACCAGCTTCCCACAGAAATGTTACTTTTCTTACTACACCTCACACAGTCTTCCAGCTAACCATGGAGATGCGGGAGTTGCAGTCCAAAAAATAACATTTCTAAGCTGTATCCTGAGGGCTAGAGAAATGATAACACTGTAATATAACGTAATGTAAAGGATTTAATTTGAAATCTTTAAATGAACATTTTCACTTGATGGAACATGGAGTTGTATCAGACAGATCATATATCTACAGTTAACCTGTTGATGTTTCAACTTTCCACGTAGTTATCACCTCTAGACCCTTCTCCACTAATCCCAGTTGCTGCCTCAACTTAGGTTGGCACATTTATTTACAATTTTTGTTATGGTGCACACCATGCATACGTAGAGTTATCTTTCAGCCAGAATTGGGGTGGTGCGGAAATCATCCAAGGTGATAGGCTGGTCTGTCTCCATCACATGGGCACACCTACTTCACATTTTGTTAGCTCACCCTCCCCAGAAGCTGCCATTTCGCTCCTGTCATGGTGAAGCTGATGACTATTGTGCTTCCCTCAAATGGAACAGTGTTCCCAAGATGATGGTCCCGTTGGGTGGCCCTTAATGAAGCAAGTGTGCCTGTGTGAAGGAATTTCTCTTCCTGCACTGAGAATCGGGGCAGGCAACGGAGCCCATAGACAATCTGATGGAATGTTAGAATTCTAGATTGCCTTGATGTGGCTCATAACCTTTTTTATAATTTATGGAACTATAAAACATACAGAGTAGATGCTGTGAGTTTCCTTTAAAGATTGAAGAAAGGTTTGTATCCTGAACATACACACTCTCCCAGACAACAGAATGGAAGCTTTTAGATGTGAGTAGTGACATCTCCTGGGAAAGAAGAGAGGGATTCAGCTAGTAGTTGGTTTCTGAGAAATGAAAAATAGCTAGAAAGTAGAATATGGATTCTGTGAAAAGCCTGCAGGGTTTGTTTAAGAGCTTCTGGAACACACATTGCAAATACGATCAATATATGTATACACTTGATTTCACCAGGGTTCTCCCCCCCCGCCCCATTTTCCAGTATTAAGAGAATAGGCTAAACTGCAGTTTTTATGTGGATACAAATCTGTGTTTTTAACAACGTTCTTTTTCTTGCCAGACTTTACCCCATTTTAGCTAATCATGTTCCATACTCCCCTTCTCACAATGTTACTATACCCTAACGCTCCTTCACGCATGATACACTCAACGGCTGGTCCTAGTGCTGACAATCTGTTCTTACTTTGCTAAAAAAAATAAAAATAAAATCTTAAGTGAAAATGACATGGAGACAGAGTTCCTTCCTATAATCACTTATTGGCATTAAGCATGAGGTTTTTGTTCAACAGCTGACAATCTCTCTCCTTCTAATATATGCCCATATGTATGCACCTCCATTATTTCTGCCAGTCTTATGTGTGAAGTGTGTGTACATACTGAATGTTTTAGTAGAGGCTTCCTGTGTTTCCTGCCAATCCTGGGGTTCACTTCCCCATCCTTGTGTAGGTCAACCTACACTGCTTTGTTGTTTCAAATATGGCTTTAATAAGGCTGAAGTTCTTAGACCCTGTCACAGCAGCTACTTCCTGCTCTCCGAATGGGTTCCATGGAATAGCGCAGGAATATTATGCAACTCCCCGTGTGATGTGGTAGACAGAGTAGAAGTCTCATCTTACCTGCTTCTTTCCCAGCTGTATCCTGTGTGACAGCTGAGGTTGTCCATCCTTTAGTTATGCTCCTGAATGGCAGCAGCATAGAGACGGTGGCAGTAGCAATAGAACAAACCTCTACTGCTATCAAGCTGTAAACAAATCTGTATCATCCCCAAGCACTGGAGATCTGATTCTGTTGACCCACCACAAGCATCTGCATACTCACACCACAATTATCCCCCTCCCACACGCATACAAAAGGAAAAACCTAAAGAAAAGTACACACAAAACTTTCTTACTATGGATAGAAAAGTAAATAGCACATTGTTTCCTTTTGATTTGATAGATGGTTGTAGTGATGAGTCCTCTAGGGAAGAATTTCTGGCAGCTTCCTTCTTATGGCGGTATTCCAGTCGCATTGCTTTCCCTCCTGCTGCTACCCCACCTCTTTGCGATCCAATTCAAATGGTTCCGAAAAAAATAATTTCACTTGAGGAGGGGAAAAAAAAGATATTTGGCAGTGGCATATAGAGGGTCCCTTAAGAGTTCACTCTTGGTCTGCCCCATGCTCTTTACTGGATTGCATTTAATCTGAGAGCAGAGGGATAGATACTTTCACAGTTGCAGCCCAAATTGATTGAAGTCAGGACTGTTTGAAAAAGAACCCATTCCTGATGGAATTACTGTTGAGACGCACGTCTCACAGTCTAGACAGGGCACCCGTCCGCACTGTCATCTTGTGTCCCCCCTGCTTTTTGCTTTGACAGAGTGTGTTACAAGGGGAGGGTGGCGTCAGTTGTTGTTCATCAGGAAGAAAGAAAATGGATCGGAATAAAAGAATGTGTTTGCAATTTGTTGCCAATCGTCTTTTTTTGTTTTTTGTTTTTTGCTGGCCCAGGAAATATTAGCTTACTAATGGTTATTTGTATGCACAACAGAATGCAAATAAATACCTTGATTCTATTATTTGTAACCTACGCTTTATGTGCATTAGACCATTTAACACTGAACTGAATTCTTATATTTACAATATACACTTGAGTCAGAGAAATGGCTTCCTCCTTCAGTTTAATAATAAACAAGGGCTTTCATGCAAAACACAGATGATGTATTAAAAGGAAATGGAGTATGTTATCACTTTCCCTGTGCACAGAAATGTATTTAAGGATTAATTTTTATTTTCTGCACTCAGCCTATGGATTCCAGTGGCCCAGTTCTTCAGAGCTGGGCTGACACTTCTGTTCCTTAGGCCCAGGGTCTGAGATTTTAAATCTTTAACAAGCAAGAAACAGAGAGATCAGGGTGAAGTAGTGCCCTGTTTTAAGAAAATCCAATTCATTGGAAGGGGAGGTTCACTTCCTATAATTTCCTTGACCCAGGACTACTGAAATCTTATTTTAGCCTTAGTGTAGCATTGCCTGTTTTGAGCAGAATATAATTTAAGCTTTAGAACTTTCTTTATTTCCATGTTCCAGAATCAGCCTTGAAAAATTAGAAGCAATAATTATAAAGTGTATTTGAGCACATTTAAATGCTTTCCTTTGCGCATAGTTAGTAAGATTAGTTCTTATGCATAAGGAAAAGGGCATAGCTTCCAGGCAGGATAGGGCCTTAAATGCTTACAGATAAGAGAGTTGTCACAGGACAATGCCACTAATTTGCAACATACTCTCATAAAATAAATATAATCTATTCAAACCAATTACTAAAGAAATTGAAAGCCCAAGGTTTCATACTTTCCTAAAATTTGCTAAAATATGACCATAGAAGCTGCTCATAGTTAGGGAAATGCAACTAATGTCATGTGATGGAGTTATCTTTCCATAGGGTTATTATCCTGAGTTGGGCCAGTTTAACCCTGCATGTTCCTTCTATGTTTTGATAATCATCCAATTTTTAAAATATCAGCCTGGTTCTATTTCTCGTTTTACTCATCTGCGTAATTGTGCAGTTGGTTGGTTCATTTCATCCCCCTTAACTGTGATTTGGTGGGTTGAATTTATTCATTTGGGTAGGTTTTAACCCCAGAAGTTTTCCCCTGCCCATCTGTTTCTTGCTTCTCTTCCTCTTTTGTAGACTGTGTGTGTGACTGAATGATTGTGGGATGTGGCATCAACTTACTTCTGATGTAAGGCATTGTACAAGTTAATGTCTTACAAAGGTTCCTATAGTTAAGAACCCTTCCCAGGTCTTAGGGACTGAAAGCTACAACCTCTTAACTTTTTTCTGGAAATATAGTCTTTTTTAGGAAACTGGATAGCTCAGTGGTTTAGGAATCTGGCTGTGTAGCCAGAGGTTGGGAGTTTGATTCCCCCCTGTGCCTCCTCTGACTATAGCCAAGCTGTTCAGTCCCAAGATGCCCCTCAATGAAGGGAATGATAAATCACTTCTGAGTATTCACTATCTGGAAAGCCCTGAAAAGAGTTGCCATGAGTCAGAATTGGCACATTATTACAGTATTATGGTCTTTTCTACTGAATCATTTTCTCATAGCATGAGATTTAGTCATTTTAGCTTCTATTAAAAGTTCCCAGAGCCAAGCTGTTCAGTCCCAAGATGCCCCTCAATGAAGGGAATGATAAATCACTTCTGAGTATTCACTATCTGGAAAGCCCTGAAAAGAGTTGCCATGAGTCAGAATTGGCACATTATTACAGTATTATGGTCTTTTCTACTGAATCATTTTCTCATAGCATGAGATTTAGTCATTTTAGCTTCTATTAAAAGTTCAGACTTGATTTGCTATAGGACTCATGTACTTGTTTCTTTGGCAAATAAAATAAAAACTTTCCTGTAGCTTTTATTTTACTCCTTCTTTCCTCCAAATCTTGACGTTCAGTTCCAGAAATTGACACGTCTGTTTAAAATGTCAGGAATCTGTTTAAACTGATACACTTTGCCCACAGTTTTCAAGCATTGTGTCTTGCTTCTCTTTTATAGTCAGAGAATATTAGGGAACTACTCAGGCTCACCCCAACAGCACAAATAGCAGCAAATCATCAAGCAGTCCTAGGAATGCACCTTGCTATGCCACTGAACACAACACATACCGGTCAGTGTTCAGTGATGGGCAGTCAGCTTAGGCTGGTCCTCCCATGGCTCAAAGTGAAACAGCTGTCTCAAGTAACACATGCTAGGGCTCAGCAGTAGTACAACTCAAGCATTCATTACGAGTCTCCCTCCCGTTTCCCTCTCTTGGAGGATAGAATAGTGTGTGCCACAAAATAAAATCAGGGTTATTGATTTACTGATACAAATAATTTATCAATATAAATGACTAAGAGTGAGGCCAATTCTATGTTTCCCCTCCCTTAATGGCTTAAAGAGATCCTGTTGGGAGGGGAAATGTTCTTCCCACTGGAGCTTTGTGGCAAGGTGATGAAGTTATTTGGCCACTCTGTATGCATTCAGTATTGTGATTATAAGAGATGGGGCCTCTAATGTGTCTAGGGACCTTTTCCTAGCCGTATGCATTTAGTATTGTGATTACAGTATAAGAGATGGGGTCTCTAATGTGTCTAGGGACCTTTTCCTAGCTCCTTTGCTTTGCTCTACCTTTGATTTTACTCCCCATGCACCCACATGTATCATACCCTCTTTAGGAATGTGTGGTGTGCTTACTAATACCAAAGGACTATCAGATGCCAGCTGCACCTGAAACCACTCGGCATAGGCAGAACCAAAGAAAGTACACGTTATATTTCACACATGTCTAGACAGTTTAATGACCACACTTGAATTGGTAGTGTCCAACCATGTTGTGTTTGCACTGATGATTAGGAGGAGGTCAGAACATCAGTAGCATAATTTAAGTAACTTATCCAGTCTCACATGCTTTGAAGAATCTTCAGACAGGTGTTCCAAAGCAGATCCCTTTCAACTGTGCACTCCTTGGATTATTCCATGAGGAGGTTTATCTAGAACTTGGTTTAGTGGAAGTTCCAATATGCATTTTGGTATAAATCCAGCCTAGCACTGCAGCATCACAAGGAGAGAATTCCTTTCCTTTCTGGCAGCAATCCTTGGAGAGCCCAAAAACCCACTCCAGAGGACTCCCTAGTTTTCTGAAGCAGATTTTTTTTGGGGTGGGGAGTCACATTGGGAAGAGATTTGCCTTCTTTCCACTGTGCTCTTCTTTTCTGCTTGCAGAAGTGTAGCATTGGCTTCTTCCTTTGGCTTCTAAGCAGTCTAATCATCAACACTGTGGTTCAGTACATACTGTTGGATTCTTTTCTAACTTCAGATTACAAAGGGGATTTATTTCAGGTGACTTTACACAGTGCTTTGTACCATGTACATTCAGCTTTACAGTAACTGTTGTTGTTGTTGTTGTCAGATTTTTGAACAATTAGTTCATTGAAAGATGTTAGGCTAGCTGATTTTTCTGGGGTGCTTTCTCTGTACAAATTAGTCCTTTATCCAAGAATTCCAGACAACATTTGCCTAAAGAACCTGCCATTTAGAAAAAAAGAATCCATGTAAAGGTGACAAAGGTGTTTGTAATACAACTATTATTCAGTTTGCCTTATGATAAAGCAAACAGAAGACACTTACATTACAAACATACCGTAATTGTTTCTGTCAAGGAATTCTACTGGAAGCTTTTTGATATGAACAACCAGAATCTTCAGAGAGCCCCCAAAGCAGCTCTCTGAATTTTTTAAAAAAAGAGGGGGGAGGACCAGTAATTTAAAACTGATTTCACCTAAGTGCTACAAGATCTTATGCAAAATCTAAGCCTTTCCCCTCTTTTCTTTTAGTTAATGAAGGAATTCCCTCTTCTTAGCATGTTCAACATCCATGAAAATTTGCTAGAAGCTCTGCTGGAGTTACAGGCATATGCAGATGTTCAGGCAGTTTTAGCAAAATATGACGGTGAGTATAAGCATCTCTTTCCATACATTTGCTTCCTCTTTCTCCATCTCCCTCTCCCCCTCTCCCCTTCTCCCCCCCCTCTTTATCCATCTCTCTGGATTGAGAGAATATAGTTACTTTTATTGGAGAGGTTATCTTTATATCACATGAATCTCTTAAAAGTTCTAAGAAGACTGTATTTATTTTATTAATTTATTTACATTATGTTTACCCCTCCCCCCCTCTCTCCATCTCTCTGGATTGAGAGAATATACAGTAGTTACTTTTATTGGAGAAGGTATCTTTATATCACATGAATTTCTTAAAAGTTCTAAGAAGATTGTATTTATTTATTAATTTATTTACATTATGTTTACCCTGCCTTTCTCCTTAAAAAGGACGGAAGCCGTTTTACATCATTTGAGACATGTAAAATAGTTTTTTTCTGGATCTTTTTCCTTTAATATTTTTAATATTTTCACACCATGGATAAATGAAACTGTGGATACTTGTCCCATGGATACGGGGATCCTACTGTGTACAAATACTAAAAAGGGATCAAACAAATAGTACTGTACTACACTTAGACAGTAAACAAAAGGAACACTTAAAGACATTCAAAGCAGTAAGGCACAACAGGCTATTTAAAAAAACCCACTCAGGAAGCCAGTCGCTAAGGGAAAGCTTGCTTGAAAAGAAAGGTCTTTGTTTGCAGAAGGAGTGCAAAGATGGGCCTAATGAACTGGCTTCATGTGGGAGGGAGTTCCAAAGTCTGGGAGCAGCAACAGAGAAGGCCCTCTCATGTGTCCCCACCAAACACACCTGTGAAGCCTGCATATATTCACAAGCTTTCATCTAATTAACTCCATGTTGTCCATGACATTTAACTTTCTTGCTTTGCCCTCTCATCCCACCAAACACACCTGTGAAGCCTGCATATATTCACAAGCTTTCATCTAATTAACTCCATGTTGTCCATGACATTTAACTTTCTTGCTTTTATGGCAATGCAAGAAGATCAGTTCATAGACAGGCGCATAAAGATACTTTCTTTCCTCGCTCATTATTCTTTTCCCCCCCTTAACTCCTGTATAAACTAGAACACTGGTTCTTAACCTTGGGTTACTCAGGTGTTTTTGGACTGCAACTCCCAGAAGCCTTCACCACCAGCTGTGCTGGCTGGGGTTTCTGGGAGTTGCAGTTCAAACAAGCTTTCATCTAATTAACTCCATGTTGTCCATGACATTTAACTTTCTTGCTTTTATGGCAATGCAAGAAGATCAGTTCATAGACAGGCGCATATACTTTCTGTCCTCGCTCATTATTCTCTCCCCCCCCCTTAATTCCTGTATCAACTAGCAGATATAAAATGTTTCCAGTCAGTGAGACACCTCTATTTTATTTTATTTGTCTCCTGTCTTTCTTCCCTGAAGGAGCCAAGTTTCTCAAACCAGGCTCAGCTAAAACACAATACAGTACAATATGAAAACAGTGTTCAATAAGTTGTCCTGTTAAAACAAATACACCATCCAGTTTCAAACCATTTTAAACCAAATTAGACCCATTAAAAACAATATAACAATTGCAAAACAACACCTGTCATTAAACAGTTGTGACCAGTGGCCAAAGGCTTGTCTATATTAAAAATGTCTTTGCCTGGTGGCAGAAGGATAGTGATGGAGACAAGACTAACCTTCCTGAAAAAGGAGTCCATAGTCTGGGAGCAGTTGCCTGAGGGCCTTGCTAGGTGGCCGCTCCCCTTGTCTCCTTTTTTTAAAATTTATTTTATTTATTTCTTTTGCTAGGTGGCCGCTCCCCTTGTCTCCTGATGTGAAACTTTCACTTTAAATATGGAGTGTGTGAAATCAGAAGGGGTGCTGCTTTTTCTGTCTCTTTCGATTTGGCAATGGTCCTGTTTGTGTTGAGTGGTCTCCAGAAGAGTCACGGAGTTTAGGGCAGGAGTGGAAGAGAGGATCATGCACCAGGCAAAACCAGAGCACTTTTCCCAATGAGTCATATTTTATCAATGGAGATGGGGGTGTTTGTAGCCATATATGAATATCTCACCAATCCCTCCTGATGTGAACCTTTCACTTTAAATGTGGAGTGTGTGAAATCAGAAGGGGTGCTGCTTTTTCTGTCTCTTTCGATTTGGCAATGGTCCTGTTTGTGTTGAGTGGTCTCCAGAAGAGTCACGGAGTTTAGGGCAGGAGTGGAAGAGAGGATCATGCACCAGGCAAAACCAGAGCACTTTTCCCAATGAGTCATATTTTATCAATGGAGATGGGGGTGTTTGTAGCCATATATGAATATCTCACCAATCCACCACGGACATGGGCCATACAATTCTACCAATGGATCCACGCCGCATGATCCACTCACCACTCTTTGACCTCGGAGTTTAGGGCAGGAGTGGAAGAGAGGATCATGCACCAGGCAAAACCAGAGCACTTTTCCCAATGAGTCATATTTTATCAATGGAGATGGGGGTGTTTGTAGCCATATATGAATATCTCACCAATCCACCACGGACATGGGCCATACAATTCTACCAATGGATCCACGCCGCATGATCCACTCACCACTCTTTGACCTGACTGATATTCTCACATGGTCCATACAATTCTACCAATAGATCCACGCCGCACGATCCACTCACCACTCTTTGACCTTGCAGCGAGGCTTGCCCTCCCGTCTCCTGCCAGGACTGGCAAGTGGATCATGCGCCGCGGATCCATTGGTAGAATTGTGTGGACCGCGTCGAATCGGTGAGTGGACCATCCGGCCCCATGGGGCTGGGCCCTCATTAATGCCACCTGTGCGGGAGCATTCATATACAAATACGAATATACCCATCTCTATTTATGAGCCTCATGACACAGTGATGAACTTCTGTACTGTAGCCAAACTCTGCTCAGGATCTGGGGTTCAATCCCAGGTAGCCAGGCTCAAGGTTCACTCAGCCTTCCATTCTTGCGAGGTTAGTAGAATGAGTACCCAGCTCACCGGGGTGTGTGTGTGTTATAATGTGTGGCCTGCATAATTAACTTGTAAATCACCCAGAGAGTGGTTTAAGCACTGTGGGGTGGTATATAAGCAGAATGCTTTGCTTTTATCATTGCAGGTTCTGAAACTACAGAGAGGCAGGAACATAAGTTTGCTTCTGGCCTTGACAGCTGCTCCTCCTGCTGGCTAACTTCTTCTGTGGCTGGCTTTGCAGGCTCTGAAACTACAGAGAGGCAGGAACATAACTTTGCTTCTGGCCTTGACAGCTGCTCCTTCTGCTGGCTAACTTCTTCTGTGGCTGGCTTGTTTTAGGAGGATGTTCACAATATGCCCAATCATTTTAACTAGACAATCTTCCCCTTTATTATTAACTACATGTATAAATATTGTAAATAAATAAGTTTATTGGGTGGTATAATACTGTATCTTGTTTGCAGTTTTCTGGTATGTCTTTTGGATTTCTGCTCTGCATCTGATGTAAAAACATAATGATGTCTCTTGGCAACAGTGCCTGTCTTTCCACTAAAGATATTTTCTTTTCCATTTTCTATAGCTGTAGATATATACAGTCCTGTTGCCAGGTGTGCAATAGAAAACAGCAATCTAATGATACACCGTTTGTTTAAAAAGGGGGCATTTGATTGGCTTTTGTTTCAGAAGTGCAATAGGTGGAGTAAAAAAAGAATGTCATATTAAGTTGTCTCTGTGTTTTATAGTTCAGTGTAGCTCATGACACTTGATGCTAGTGAGCTGGAAGTCCAAACAGCAGCAATTTGTGACCCTCACCTATTTGCATTAGTTGCATTCTACCAAGTGCTTATTATTAACATGTCCCATGTAATTGTCTTCGTAATTACTTAAGGGAACTGCACAGCAGAGCTTCTGGATGTTTTCTCCTGCCATAGTCCTGACGGACCATCTCAGATAAGCTGGGACATCTGAGATCATTATCTACCTTCTACGAAAACAGACAGAAACCATGATAAATGGAATTGCCAATATCTAGTTGCTCAATGAATATTCCAGAAACCTTGGCTTGTTAATAGAGGTTTTAAATTCTAAGCATCCCTTTTGCTGGAACTATACCAAGACGTTTTCAATAGACCAGAAGGATTTCTGGCTATGGGGTCCAACGTAGTAGTAGTAGTACTTTATTACGGTCAAAGACCAGTAAAACCAAAACAATATAAAATAGATACATACAATTATTGTTTCAGGCAGGATAATAAAATTCCATTAAAACATGATAAAACAACCCCTTCTTTCCAATTAATAACATCATATATCCTTAATATTGGTAAAACTTCAGGCAGTGTTATAGCCTTTTGGGCCATAAGCCCTTTATGATGTCCTGGTATGGGCAAGATGCTTAGAACTGAGGCATCTATGCAGATACTGTCAACACTATTGACATCTGGGTTAAAGAGTTATCTCTGCTGTAGCAGTTGTTGCTGTTGTTCCAATCAGGTTTGGCTGATGGGACTCTTGTGCAGAAGAAATGTGCTGTCCACAGGGTTCGTAACAAATGGAAACATCCCTGGATCTCAGGCCTTACTGTAGCATTATTATTTTTTGTTCAGCTTTAGTAGGATTTAATGTTTCTTTCTCTTTACCCATAACCATATATAAATCCCCTGCCATTATTACAAACCCCTTTCTTATCTCTTCCAAGCCTTTAAACATTTTCTTTAAAAAACACTAAGAACCAGGAGAAGGCTGTGTGGTCCCCAAGATTACACAGATGCAAAAATTGGTGATGCCTTTTATCGGACCACTAAAAAGATTAAACAAAATTGCAAGCTTTCATGGATGAAATCCACCTCCTCAGGCTAAGCACACCTCTAGATAATGCAGAAAAACTGTAGACAAGAGTCCAAAAAATTGATGTTACATGTCTGTGAAGGATGGATGACCTAAGTTTATATATATAGGGTTTGCTATTATCCTCAGTGTCTTGATCCCCCACAGATACTGCAGTCCTACTGCATTTTTTGCTTGCTTTTTTTTAAAAAAAATCCACCATAGTCTATATACATATATGAACCATGTGCTTTTCATTTTTGCTTTCTTTGCCACAGATATAAGTTTACCGAAATCTGCAACAATATGCTACACAGCCGCACTTCTCAAAGCCAGAGCCGTCTCTGACAAGTAAGTCTAGAGGAACTTCTGTCTGTACATTTGGGTAATGTGTAACATTTATTAATTTCTTTTTAATTGCTGGAGAACTGTTCACTCTTGCATGAATGTGTTTGGTCTTGCTATAAATCTGCAACATATACTTATTGACCAAAAAACTGGTTTATTTATTTGATTTTTGCATAATGAAGGTCATTTGAGCATCACCGTGGTCTAAGGTGCAAATGGCAGCAATATTCGGGTATTGGAAAGCAAACACAGCAGGGAGGTGGCATTTCGTTCGCTCCCTTTCCTCTTGTGTGCCAGAAAATGAAAATATGATCAATGCAGAAATGCCATTGTATCTTTACCAGCAGAACGATAAGTGTGTGTTGGGGGGTGGAGGAGTTGATGATTTCTTTGAGGCAGAGAAATACCAAGCATTTACTGTATAAAAGTTCTTGGCAGGCAAGCAGTACACGATCATCATGGCCTGGAAGGAGCAGCTCCCCAGAGTGTGGAGCATTCTTGTTTTCCTCCAGTTCAAGTTGAGGAGTAATGTAGGAAATCCCCTCCCCCCGTGTGCGGGAAACCTCCGCAATGTACAGAGATGGGCTCTTAGGAGCCAGGCTCTGCTCCAAGGTGGAAAAGCCCAATTCCTGAGCAGAAAGGAATCGCATCATGCACGTGTGGCTGGGGTTCAGAGTGTGGCCTGAAGAATGGGGAGCAAGCAGCACAGGAAAGCCTGCTTTCCTTCCTGCTTTTTCTTTTTTTTTTGCAGAGAGTTTTGCTATTAAGCGTGTGATGTGCACTTCAAGACCTGAGTAATTTTATTTTTCTTTCATTCTTTTTGTCCTGTAGATCGCCAGTACCAACTGCAACATCTTTCCTCCCTACACAGCGACTCCAGCTTGGGAGGGCAGGGCTAGGTTTGTCACAGCTTTCCCTGTGGTGTCTGCCTGCCAAGTACAGCTATGGAGTTAGCCGTGGGGTGTGAGGTGAGAAAGAGATTGCATGGTCTGGGTATTTCCTCCCCGCTTCTTCCATTCACTGGGGCAGACGATATTTGCCCGCAGTAGGGGCACATCACCAGGGAGAAGTGCAGCTGAAAGCAGATCTCCTGCACCAGGCTCTTGTCTCAACCTGTCCCAGTGGCACTGGGTTGAGAAACCCCTCTGAACCCTTCCCAAAATATAATTTCAAAGAGATCAAAACAAAACAAAAACACCCCACTCTTGATCAGCTCCAGGCATTTTTTTCTCCTTCTTTCTCCCTCCCTTCTGAGGTTCTGGTCCTGATTTTGAAATAAAACCTAAACAAACTTAGATTAGCAGAGAGTTAAAATAAGGGAGAGAGAAAAAAGCGTGACTGTCTGAATATTTGTCATGACGGATGGCATACGTGCTTTCGACTGCTGCTGGGTTTTGTCATTAAAAATCGTTGCGTAGTTTGGTTGTTCAGAATGTCCTTTTGCAGTGGACATTTTGGAGGAAGCTAAGGAAACTGGCTCAGGCTGGATCCACAAACCCCTGCTCCTTAGATCTTCGTTTTATCTGGCTTCCTGGTGCTGGCATTGACCTCTGTGCTTTTTTTTTTCCCTTTCGTCTTCCTAGGTTTTCTCCTGAGGCAGCTTCAAGGCGAGGACTGAGTACGGCAGAGATGAATGCAGTAGAAGCTATTCACAGAGCAGTGGAATTTAACCCACATGTGCCAAAAGTAAGTTTTTAAAATTAATCTCTTCTAATTTTGGAAATAAGAAGCAAGACGTACTAGAATGCTGGGTTAAAAAGGAAGGAAGGAGGTTAAGGGCAGTGTCAGGTGGAGTGGAGTGCAGCGAGGCAGCAAATATTACTGCCTGGACAGATAAAATTAGAGCAAGGACTGCATCCTGGCTGTGGGACCTCGGCTTCCTTTCACGGACTGCATTGCCTTGAGAAAAGGGAGCCTCTCTTGCATCAAATGTGTTTAATAAAACTCAAGAGTTACAAGCAGAATTGCAGTAACGACCTTACTGACAGAACCTTCGTGCTGCCCCTCTACTAAAAAAGAACTTCACTAGCTTACGCAACAGAAGGTGTGGGGAAAAGGTGAGGACATGGTCCCCTCTGCGGGCTCCATCAGACCCAGAAATTGTGAGAAGAAAGCATCTTTTAAAGTGTGTGTGTGGGGGAAGCAATAGAAGCACCCTTTCAGTTTATGAGGTTTCTTTTTGCGGGGGGGGGCTGCAAGGTAACAGAGATGCCCCTGAGGGCCACATGCAGCCCATGGTCTGCAATTTGCCCACAGCTGCTCTACAGCATGACTTGAAAGGAATTTATCCTTACTTCAGACTTCTGTCATGGTCTTTTCTCCATGCTACTTCTCATTGGTTATTCATTTGTCGCACATCGCACATTAGAATAAAGTCATGGCACCAAGGGACCTTCAGCTTGGGTTACACAGATATGCTTCACTATATCCTGGATTAGTAACCATCCTAGGAAACAACTCTTTTGTTGAAATCTTGTAGAAACTTATGCCATGTAAGCTTGATGCAAGTGTTTTTTTATTTTTATTTATTTATTTGTAAATTAAAGACCTATGACTACCCTTCCCTTAAGTCCCAAGCCACCCTTGGGATCCCTTCTGTCTTGGGGTTATGAACCTCGATGGAGTAGAAAGTCTTAGGTTTCTAAAAATTGCTGCCAGCAAGATAATTTTACTAGCAATGACAATTTTCAGATGTTAAATATTCCACCCCATCTCACAACTCCCAATGGCTTTTTTATGAAGAAGGGGACCTCAAGGGAGCCTTGGGAACTTTGGTGTGTCTGTGTAAAAATAGAAGTCAGTAATTTATTAAAAATGCCCATGGTTGATGACATTAACAGCCTTATGTGGCATGCTTTCTACTACGGGATTTCAGACATATAAATACAACTCTTGAACACTGTTCCTATTACAGTGAACAATTCTAGCAATAATAATGTGTATATAGGACTGAATTCAAACTTTAGCCATGCTTATGGAAACCGGACTCAAGGGGCTAGTAGACAGGAAGCAAAAGGTGATAGGGTTTGACACATGAATGTGGCTTTCCAGCATCTTGCACATAGGGACAAAATGAACTGTGAAAATAATCATCGGAAATAGATGGAAGAGGACAGTCAAACACATTATTTCCAAGATATCGAAAGGAAATTTAAATCAAGATTGGGATAAAATTTGGTCAGGATAATATAAAGAGAAGATGAAAAAATATACAAAAGAACTCTACAGAAAAGACACAAGAATGACAATTTTTTCCAGTCTTTTAGGAAGTGAAAGATAACTTTCAAAGTACCTGGGAGACATAAATCACTAGGAATACTTAGCTCATTTGAAATAGAGCTGTGGGGTGGGGAGGAGAAGGAATTCCCTAAAATTAGCAGAGGCAGCATCTCTGCTAAAGTTTTTGTGCCCATGAAGGGCAAAACCCAGAGTAGCCCTTATTTATTTATTTATTT